AGGGAAGGAGGAAGAGAGAGGAGGGAAGGAGGAAGAGAGATGGAGAGGGAGGATTGGATGACGGGGGGGAGAGAGAGGGAAGGAGAGGGAGAGAGGTGGAGGAGAGAGAGGAAGAGAGACAGAGAGACAGAACGGAAGGGGAGAGGGGGAGGAGATAGAGGAAGAGTGAGAGAGGGAGGGAGGAGAGGGATAGAGAGGGGGAGAAGGAGAGAGAGGGAGGAGAGGAAAAGGGGGAGAGGAAGAGGAGGAGAAAGAGGGAGGGAGGGGGGAAGGAGAGAGGAAGAGAGAGGGAGGGAGGGGGAGGGAGAATGAGGGGGAAGGAGAGAGGAAGAGAGAGAAAGGGAAGGAGAAAGAGAGAGGGAGGAAATGAGAAAGAGGGAGGGAGGGAAGGAGGAAGAGAGAGGGAGAGAGGGACAGGGAGGGAGAGAGCGAGCGAAGCACTTCCTGGCATCCCATCTCCCAGCCTCCGGTCAGAAAAGCCGCCGGTGAAATCATCACCAGGCGAGGCTTCCAAGGGGCAGCTCTCCGCTTCCCTCCAAGCGCAAAGAAGAGAAAGCAGCGAGACGGACCAAAGCGGCTCACCTGAAACGGAAAGTCCCCGCCGGTCGGGATGAGGCGGAGGGAGACGGGGAAAGGGAATCGCCGGGCGATTTCTGCCGCTCCATCCAAAAGCCGCGCCGACCTTCCCCCGACGCGTCGCGAGCCCCGCCAAGAAGCGATTGGCGAAGCTTCGCAGTTTCCCATCCGAGGGGGTGTCCGCCTCCCCCCCCCTCCAACCTCCTCTTAGCGCGCAGGGTAGAAATCCCGTCCGCTTTTGCTCTTTTAGCTTCAGTGCGTTTTTTCTTTTACTGTCAAGACCTAGCAAAGGGGCTAATCCCTCATTTCACCGGGTGACAGGAACATTTTTCTGGGGGGGGGAACCGTCCCGGGGGCTTAGAAAAGTAGAGATAAAACTCCCGTCCCTTTGAATCTCCAGGCAGCGCCCGATCAGCCCCTTCCTGCCCTCTTCACGGACCTTTTCCAGCGCTTTAGCTCCATCGGCGGGGGTGGGGGTGATGGGGTGGGGAAAGCGCCGCTGCCCATCCCCGCTGGCTCCACCGGGACGCAACTTGTTGTCGCGGGTTTCCTCCTCCACGCGCCTCCGTTCCTCCTGCCTCCCTCGAGGCGAGGAGCCGGTGGAGAAGCGGGGAAACTGGGATGAGCCGGCGGGGCGGAGCACTCGGGGCACTCTGGGAGATGTAGTCCCTCTGTGCACGGCAAGGCCGACAGCATCGGAGGTCAGGTCCTGGGGTTCAAGCCTCGGTCTAAGGAGGTTGCTTCGGGCTCGGTATCCTTCTCTTCCCCCCTCCCCTCTTCCTGCACGGTTTCCACATCTAGAGAAGTCTATGGAGATTCTCAAGTCATCCAGGTCATGGTTGTCCCAAAGGTGCTTTTTTTTTTTTTCCAAGAGGCAACTGGACACAAGAAAGTCCAGTTGCCCCTTGAAATAAAAAAAAAAGGATCTTTGGGATATCTTTGGAGAAGTTGCTTCATCTGGAGGAAAGGAAGAAGGGACACTTGCCAAGGAATTTTTCAACCAGAGGAGAATGCCACTGAACTAGGGGTGAAATCCAGCAGGTTCTGGAGAACCGGTAGCGGAAATTTTCAGTAGTTCAGAGAACTGGCAAATGCAACCTCTGGCTGGCCCCAGAGTGGGGNGACGTCTTCAGACAGTGTTGGCTCTTTGGTTTTGAAATGGAGATAAGCACTGCCCCCTAGAGTCAGGAACGACTAGCACATATGTGCGAGGGGAACCTTTACCTTTTACCTTTGCTTTATGTGCATCAATCAGCTAGTTTCTAGTCCTTTGTACGCAGAACAAAACCTGTGTATTCTAGGCAGAAATATTTGGGTGGTAGAGCGGGATAGAGCCAAAGCAATGGATGGCAGGAGCCACAACAGAGAAGGCACTGATAGGATTATGGGAAGGTGACTGGGTAGATAGTTGCACAGCTGTCTTTGACTTCAAATCAACATATTCAATTAGTCTGCCTGCCCTCTTTTCCTTACCTCCCCTTACTGCCATCACCAATATCCTTGGCTTAAAGCACAGCATAAAGAGAGGTGGAAAAAAGAAGGTAGCAAGAAGATTGGTGGGTGGATCGGTGTGCACAGGCAATGTGGAAGAGGGGAGAAGTGCTCTAACTTTGCTCTACTTGCCCTATAGGTTTTGCCTGGATTTTGTTTCAGCTGTAATCTGGAATGTCTAATTTGTTCCAGGTTTTCTGCCAGACAATATCCCAGCCAGAAACTTGGCAGAACTTCCAAGAAACAACCTGTTTGCTCCAGGTTCAAAACAAAACATGCTTTCCATTTCATGCTTATTTTAATGAGCATACAATACAAATTGGATACAATCGCCCTTGTAGTAAGGGAAATCCCCTTGATAGAAATATGTCAAAACTATTATCTAGGCAGAGGGCAGAGGCTTTCTTTAAGTCCTGGGAAGTTAGATAATAACTGGAAGTGCCTCAAGCAAACAGTTCTCTGATCCACTGGAGTATAAGGAAGGAAGGGGAAGGGATAACACAACCAGGCTTACAAAATCAAGTTATTGTGCCTTCTCTTAATAAAGTATAGTTCTAAACTTCCTGTAGCCTTTTCTGATCTTGTCTACCGAGGCTTGGCTGACAACCCAATCAAAGTCAGTTAAAGAACCAACAACTGCATTTGCCCAAGATGCTAATTTGAACCTTTGCACCTAATCTTAGAATTGGGACGACCGACTGAGATCATAGAACCTCTATTTCACCTTACCATCAGCCCTCCAACATAAATTTGCAATTGAGTAAACTTCTCTGGCTAACTGATTCTCATTCCCAACTGTTTAATACTTAAGTGTTTAGTTTCCTAATATTCAATTACAATTTGAGTTCCTGTACCTTGAATTATCTTATGCCCAGTCTTCTGAACAATGGAGAACCACGCTTGACTTTCTACATAAGCCAGCTTGCTCTACAATGTTATGGTGTTAATCAGGGATGGCCTCTTCATATATTTAAGACATTATGAAATTGAACCGAGGACCCATACAACACATCAGGGCCACTGACAGAATCCAGGAACCAAGAATAGCTGCTAGAATCCTAACAACCCAACAAGAATCCTAACAATCCAACAAGACTCACAATATCTTGCCTAACTATTCACGTTGCCCCTTCCGTTTCCTCCAATGTCTTCAGCATTATAGTCGGTCTAGATATAGATTCAAGAGCAGCATTTTCATTTCCCCAATGCCCTGAAGTGGTTCCACAAAACTGACTTTGCAGCTCATAATAAATGCAACTCCAACCTGGCCTTGAAAACCTGTCTGATGGTTACAAGAATAGCCATCATGGTGTAATGGCTAAGGGTCTAGACTAGGGTTAGGAGACCCAAGGTTCAAGTCCATTCTCAATCATGGAAAACTCTGTAGCTGAAATTGGAGCAAGCCTCATGAGGCCGATGATGTGGGGAACAATTGGAAACTGGTCCTGGATAAAATTTGGAATATTAATCCTATGAATAAGTAACTTAAGTAACTAAAATAGTGGTTGAAGTATGATAATGTAGACCAGGGATCTCCAACCTGTGGGCCATGTGGCCATGTGGGTGGTTGGCCAGTCCATGTGCATGTGAACCACTACAATTATGGTGTCACACAGCCATGTTGCTGTGAGCATGGCACAGGCGCTAGCATCACTGTGAGCACATACTCCCACTTGCACCACTGTTGACCTTCATGTGCACGTTTGAACTGGGTCTCAAGTGCCCACTCAATGCTGGCACGAGTGGGTGTGCTTGCTCACAGCCCCATTCGCATGCATGAAGGCACCTGCCCCTCCTCCCTTGGGCCGCCAAGCCAAAAAGGTTGGGGAATTCTTATGTAGACAGTTTGATGTGGTATCACCCTGCTGACTATCACGATTCTGAATGAAACTTCCTTCAGAGTTCACATGGTTGGAAATTCACCATAGCTGGTTTCTATGTACACCAAGACAGCTATATGTTTTCTATAGACAGTACAGGTAGTTCTCGCCTTATGACCACAATTAAGCCCAATTATTTCTGTTGGTAAACAAGGCAGTTGTGCAGTGAGTTGCATCCTGTTTTACAACCTTCTTTTTGGCTGCAGTTGTTAAACATCCCTGCAACCGTTAAGGGAATCATGCGGGCATTAACCAAACTTGACTTCCCCCATTGACTTTGCTTGTCAGGGAAGATAACAAATGATGATCACGAGAAAACAGGACAGGCCAACAGTCAGAAATACATACCGGTTGCCAAGCGCCTGAATTTCGATCACGTAACCGTGGGGACACGGCAACAGTTGGTGAAAAAATGAGTCATAAATCTCTCTTTCTTGTAACTTTGAATGGTGACTAAAGGAATGGTTGGAGGCCAGCGACTACCTGTTGAACTTACTTTGAACGCACTCTCTTTTCTTTCCCCCCTGCATCAAATCATACACCTTTATAATGCAAAATTTCCTTTCATGGGTTGGCAAAGGCGCTTTTGTCAGTCGAAGGATCCTTTGCTTCTATTTAATGCAAATTATCCCCTATCCCCATTTTTGCTGCTTCAAGGCCAGGCTAACTGGTTACAACAAGAGCTTCCTCTTCCACAAGTGATAACTCCATATTATCACTTGTAGAGGATTTCACTCGGAAATTGAAAGATCCATACAGTTTGGCTGACTCCTTGGAAGCTGCAAATCGGTTCCTCCTGTAGAGTTCTCCTTTCCACATCTGCATCATCAGTAAACTGGACAACACAACGCCTCCCAGGGTCAACAGGCAGAGCCCAGCAATTACACACCGATCCAGGTGAGCCCCAATCCGGGCACTCTTCTTCTCGAGGCGCTCCATCTCCCGTGCTGCCACTGTGTTGGGATCCACACTTACGTTTCTGGGCACCACATAGGAAACGATCACCAACAAAATCCCAACGACCAAGAACAAGATGGCACTGATGAAGCTGTAATCAATAGATTTTCCGCCAGCGGCTTCGGAGCCAGCATCATCCTCTTCCTCGGAAATGATGGAAGGTGGATCATAGGGCCATTCTGAAGGCATCTCTGTGTCAGGGTCAGGATGGGGAAGGAACTCTTGGTCTTGGCAACAGCTACGATGGGCAAGGCTCCCCGGGTGATTTAGGTGGTTGGTGTTTTCATCCACGCAGGTGAAGGACGTTTCCGATTCACAGCAACAGGCATTTTTGGAGGCAGTCTCCTTCTCTTCCTTTGAAAAGTTGGAGCAGGGGAAATGACCGGTTGTCGTAATTTCTGGGGACAAGGATGATACCGCAAGGAGGGCGAGAGAAGGCTGAGCAGGATCTTCCAGTTCAGCCGCTTTGCAATGCTGCTCGCAGCATTCAGCAGTCGTAACTAGGAATCTATTCTTTGCCCCACTTTCATCAGGCTGGCAGGATGGAGCATGCAAACTCCAACCTACACCGTGGCACTCAGCAGATGGAGCTCCCTCTCGGGCGACGTGCAAAACCTCCATACATGCCATGAGTGCTGCAGAGCACAGGTCCAATGGACCATTTACATCTCTAGTAGTTTTGGGCAAGTGGAGCCGGTTGCCACCTCAGAGGTTGTAAGGGGGCTTCACCCGCAACTTCTGACCTTTGGCTCCCATTTTGCTGGCTTCCGATTCAGTCACCACCACCATTCAGTTAAACAAATGTACTTCTTTTTGAGCCTGCAGTTGCCATAGGAAGAGAAGCAGCAGCTTCATGGGTAGATCTGTTGTGAGACAAAGGAAATGTAGCCAAACTGCAACAGAGATTATAGAGTCATTACCCTGATTTTTATCCAATGTCTCTGCAAGTGAACCAATGTGAAGGCTTTCACCAATCACTGAAAGCTAAACTCTGCTTATCTTAAACCAATTTAGAAACTCTAATCGGCTTTTAGAAATAACCCTTTGCAAATTTTGGGGGGAAAAAAGAAGAAGAAGACAGCTCAGTCAACACAGATCCCTCACCACTTTCAACACTCAAGGGCAAAACCCATCACCCCCCACTGCAAAATGCCATTCCAAAAGGGCAAAGTCAAACTTGGCATCTCACATTCACCCAGACTCAAGTGCAAAAATCTAATCAGAAAGGAGCCAGCAAATCCCGCCCCGCTCAAGTCACCCAGGATCTGTTTTCGCCAGTGGAAATCTGAGCATCCCAGGAAATAAAAAGAGGGGGGGGGAGAGAGAGGGGAGAGAAGGAAAGAGAGAGGGAGGCATGGGGAGAGAGGGAGGGAAGGAGAGAGAGAAAGGGGGAGAAGGAGAGAGTGGAAGAGAGACAGAGATGGAGGGGGAGGGGGGAGGAGATAGAGGAAGAGAGAGAGAGGGAGGATAGGGAGGGAGGGGAGGGAGAGAGAGGGGGAGAAGGAGAGGAAGAGATATGGAGAGGGAGGAGAGGAAGAGTGGGAGAGAGAGAGAGAGAGAAGGAGAGGGAGAGAAGGGGGAGGAGAGAAAGAGAGAGAGGGAGGAAGAGGGAGGAGAGGGGGAGGGAGAGGGGGGAAAAGGGAAGAGAAGAAGAGAGACAGAGAGGGAGGGGAGAGGGGGAGTTAGGGAGAGAGATGGGGAGAAGGAGAGAGAGAAAGAGAGATGGAGAGGGAGGAGATGATGAGGGAGAGAGAGAGGGAAGCAGAGGGAGAGAGGTGGAGGAGAGAGAGAAAGAGAGACAGAGAGACAGAGTGGAGAGGAGAGGGGGAGGAGATAGAGGAAGAGTGAGAGAGGGAGGGAGGGGAGAGAGAGGGGGGAAGGAGAGAGAGGTAGGAGAGGAAGAGGGGGGAGAGGAAAAGGGGGAGGGAGAGGTAGGGAGAGAGAGAGGGTATGGAGAGAGGAAGAAAGAGGGAGAGAGGAAGACCGAGGGAGGAGAGGGAGGAGAGGGGCAGGGAGAGAGGGGGGATAAGGAGAGAGAGGAAGAGCGATGGAAAGGGAGGAGAGGATAAGGGGGAGAGAGGGAGAGGGGGGAGGAGAGAAGAAGAGAGAGGGAGGGAGGAAGAGAGAGGGAGGGAGGGGGAGGGAGAGTGAGGGGGAAGGAGAGAGGAAGAGAGAGGGAGGGAAGGAGGAAGAGAGAGGGAGGGAAGGAGGAAGAGAGAGGAGGGAAGGAGGAAGAGAGATGGAGAGGGAGGATTGGATGACGGGGGGAGAGAGAGGGAAGGAGAGGGAGAGAGGTGGAGGAGAGAGAGGAAGAGAGACAGAGAGACAGAACGGAAGGGGAGAGGGGGAGGAGATAGAGGAAGAGTGAGAGAGGGAGGGAGGGGGAGGGAGAGTGAGGGGGAAGGAGAGAGGAAGAGAGAGGGAGGGAAGGAGGAAGAGAGAGGGAGGGAAGGAGGAAGAGAGAGGAGGGAAGGAGGAGGGGGGATGGAGGGGGA